CAGACAGACAGACAGACAGACAGACAGACAGACAGACAGACAGACAGACAAACCAACAGACACACTTAGCGCGTTATATATATATATAAAATATAGTGACCCACTCCTTCTCTAAACGCTTCCCTCTCCAGTTCACGACTTGATAGTCGAGTTAGGCTGGCCTAACTCAACTATCAAGTCATGAACCCTTAGGCGTCTGTGCTCTGCCCATTAACGGCCGAGAGCATGGCAGACATTTCGACAAAAACGAAGATCCAGTTCAGCACCTTAGCCCAACGATGAACCCCAGCTTTGGGTCGTGGCTCGAACCAGTGCGCGTGTTGCAACGCGAACCCCTAGCTACCCTTGCACCCGGCCCTTGCACTAAGATGAAGATTCAGTCCGGCACTCGGCTCTTGCAGTAATCCCCTGGCTTATCCCACCACCCGTCCTTGCCCAAAGCCCCTTTTCGACGCGTCGTATATGTGACGGGTAAAAATTGCGTATTAACACGTGCCGGATTACTGTAAGAACCGAGTGCCGGACTGAATTTTCGTTCCTGTGGCCCTTGCCTAGTGCCCATTCCGCGTAATTGCAGTGACAGTTGCCGCAATCCGCAAGGGAGAATGACGCTATTGGGAGAAGTCCCGTCACCCCCTCTTTGGGGGAGCTGAAACCTTCCTGATGCCTCACCGACATTTGCGAGTTCCACTTACCAGTTAGATCTGACATAGGCCCAAGCAGACATACACATGCACTCATGACACATGACACCAAAACGTCAACTATTTGCGTTGGAACCTATCGCTCTGCAAGAAGAAACTGCAGAGCATCCCCCCTTCTCCAAGGTTTATTCCGGATGCGACGTATATGTGACGGGTAAAGGTTTGGGTGTTCGAATAGAGCCATACCGTGAAAGGGAGTGTTCTGTCTGTGAAATTATGCGTTCACTACATTTTATTTTACGGTAATTTTTTGAAAGACTAGTGGGGGTACCAATTTTTCATTCCTTTTAAAGTTTGAGTTGCTCCGTAACCGTTCGGAGCTATTGTGAAGAGCATCTCATTCAAACGTTTCTCCTGATATTCCCCGAAAGGAAATGTTTTTGGATGTCGCTTTATTGTATGATATATGCCTCCGGCTAGAGGAAAACCACGTAAGGTCTTTTTTTGGATGCTTTCTTCATTTTTTGTTAGATAAATGGTTGGTGATTTAGGATTCGGCTGATTTCCAATTATGTATTGATGCAATCAAAGACCAAGATGTATCAGTGAAGAAATTAGCCATACAAATCGTGATCAGGTGATTTGTTGAAGTCGAGTTAAACCATGATGATTTTAATGTGGCGCCACTCCAACCCTAGTTAGAGATCAGAAAAGTGATGTCGTTGTGTTTTGCAATTTTATTGAAATTCGAAATGTAAACTCATGGTGGTTGAACTTATATCCAGGTTTTTCGATGACTTTCCGGACAAAGGAGCGGTAGCTTTAAACACGTTGATGTCACAGCTGAAGGATCCAAACATTGAGGTACCACGGCCCACGGTTGATAATTCACTTCAGTCCACTTCCTTCGACTCTTTTTTGTATCTCGACTTTATCATTGCAGGTGCAAAAGCTCGTCATCAAGGTGCTTCCGTCCACATGTTCTCTCCATGAAGATTACGTTGACCAGGTAATCCAGAAAAAAATGATCGTCAGCACTCTAGCATAGCTCGTTCTGAGACGGAGCTTGTTGCTCAGCGCGTTTTTTTTNTTTTTTTTCTTCAAAATACGCACGAGTAACTTCTATGTTTAACACTTGGGAGGAGAAGTTTTTTGAACTTATCAAATATCGAATTGTTAAGCTGCTACCTGCTGCTAGTTACCCATACACTGCTTATTAGATGCTTGATTTCAGGTTGGAGATGTTCTCGCCCAGCTATTGAGCATTTCTGATAAACAAGAGTCGTTGTTAGTAAGGAAATCATTGTATTCCATACTAGTGAAATATCCGAAAGGTAAATTTAATGGTCTCTCATTTCATCCTTTGATTATTTCAGTGTTTGCGCTCGATTTACTTATAATTGATTCGACATCCCCCTAGTCAGTTTACAACTGTGACCGCATCCTCCAGTATAGAGCTGATACGAGCGTTTTTGAGGCGTCGTTTTTTTCAGCAACTGTTTTGGCAATATACAAGGCAGTAACGAAAGCTGAGAGCAATGAGGACAAACTCATAATGCTGCAGTTCATGGACGAAAAAGTTGTCCGCATTCATGGCGAACTGACACCTTTCATGAAGGAGCTAATTGCTGAGGTCTACCGCAAAGTTCGTATTATTGTTTTTCTTATCTTTGGACTTTTCAATTTCTTGGATGAATTTCTCATCAATCAGTTGTGCAATCTCCCTAGGCATTTCACATGTTATCGGCAAATTTACCTTCATTGTATTGTAGTGTTTAAAAACTGCCATAAGGGTTCAAAAGTTTTCAATATGACCCGCTGATAGTGGGCAGATTTGCTATGAGTACGAGTCCTTGCTGAGTTTCAGATGTTGGTCTCCTCAACACCCGAAGAAGTCGAAGTAATACTTCGGTTTATTGCAAAATCACGGCAAATCACGGAACATGAGAAGCAATTGACGTTCAGGGCTGCAATGAGCTCACTTGTGGAAGAGGGAGTCAAACTAGATCAGGTGAGTTCCTCTTAGTTTTCTCCTTTCTTCAATTTGGCTCTTTTTCCATTATGCTACTAGAATCCTCCAAATCTTTCGGTTGTTAAAGGTTCAGACGTTTTTACAGAGAAAGGACATCGCAGATTGCTACGAACTCAATGAAATTGTGAAAAATGTCGTGAAAATTGTGTTAATTTTGCATGTGGGTGTTCTTTTTGCTATTGTGCTACGAAGATGGCAAAGCTACTCTGTTGTTTTAGTCCGTCGATCGGTCATATATCATGCCGGCAAAGATGACTGATTATTTGTTTTCCAAGTTTGATAAGCTACACAGAATTCATTCTTCTGATAGAAAGGACATAATGAAGGTATGAAATAATGTGTTATTATCATTTTTTTTTACGTTATTCTACTACAATAGAATAGGCTTTCTCAGAACTCTTGCGTTCATGCTTTCACAACGCTGTCAGGTTTCTTCGTATCATCTTCAACATACTTATTTCGGTGTCACGAGCTATCTTAGAGCTCAAATGTGCGCTGTGAGGTCTTGCGATCTCTCGCGCGTACCTTTCTCTATCCTTGCTCGCAGTTAGATTGACGGCGTCTTGACATTTGAAACATCCTCAAACTACATATATCAATACGGCAATAGTGCTTGTGGCAATGTATTACGTGAACTCGAGATGACACTAAGGAATCTTTCAGTGTTAGGAGAGGATGGGTCGCAATTCCTCGAGATAATGGGATCACGGCGCACCCACGTCCCCCTCCATTCCGTTGATATTTGCACGCGTTGTTGTGAGCATGCAACAACTTCATCCGGGTGCCATTCAAAAGAGAATCAGTTTTTTTCTTTCGAGACTCTGAAATTTTGTTTCTCTCAGTTCTTCTGTTCGCATGAGCTTGTTCCTCAGAATGTTTCCTGAGCTTTTGATCTTTAGTATTTTTCATTATTTTCCAATGCATATGTTATTGTGATAGGGACGAAGGTGGTGTAGAAGAAAGTGATGCTTTATAATACACGTATGGTCTTGGGTTCCGATTTCGGAACGGTTCTCATCTAATCTACAACTCTATCCCTTCGAGATCGTTTTATTGTCACCGGACTCATCTTTATCAGTTGGCACGCTGTATTATAAGCCACACACACACA